GTTGAAGTCAATGTTTAAAAATAAATTGAATTTTTGCTTCAAAGACGAAACTCACTGATCTACGATATGATCGGATCTTATAAGAGAGGCAGTACCACCTTCCCTCCCCATCTCCCCCTCCCACACACACACACGCTATTTTCTGCTGACCCGAACTTACAAGATGCGAGTGAGCATGGGATAAATGTGATATCGGATTTGACGTTGGCCGAGTTATCAGTAGTTATCAGAGTTGATTTTGTGTGGAGCACGGCCGTCTATGCAAACGAACCCATCATTCCTTCCCACCCAAAGGTCTCAGGTTTACAACACATTTCACGGATGGTAAACTTTTCATGTGTAGGGCAGACGAATAGTGTTGGAGTGATTTACGGATGTGTAAGTACGAGATGAGAAGATGTGTGTGTCACCATTGATGTCACCAGCCACTGATAACAACTGATGTCATGATGGTCAACAAAGTGGATGGGATGGTAGGCAGTTATGGCATACTTAAGGTCCATTAGGAGGAAATAGAATGGCAGCTAGAAGACAGCAGATACAACATTTATTAGACAGTACGTACAACATTTATTAGACAGTACGTACAACATTTATTAGACAGTACATATAACATCTATTAGACAGTATGTACAACATTTATTACACAGTACGTACAACATTTATTACACAGAACATAAAATACCTCTCATACAACACCTAACATACAACGTCTATAAGACAGTAGATACATGCCCCTCGTTATACAGTAATCAGACATGACGTCACATGTTTAAGTCTTTTTTTCAAAACCTGACGAGGCATTTTTTGTCGAGTTCAAACTGTTTAATTTTTTAAAAATTATTATTATTTAGATTTTGATGAGCATATCAGTAAAACAGTTATGATTATAGGAACAAAATCATGAGAATAATCATGAAAATAATCATGCTAATTTATAAGTTTTTAAAGACACGATACATTTCATTAGGTTGATATACTGAAGTATTACATATTAGGCATAATAAAGATTATTTCTTTAAAATATCTCACGCATAGATCTTCACATTTTTTTTTTTTTTGGACAGAACAATTGCCGTCATTGTCTTTGAGTAATGGCAAGACACATGACACTCTGGTTCTGACACATGACACATGACACAAGACACATGACACTCTGGTTCTGAATGTCAAATCGTACTGCCAGAACATTTGGATTCATACTCCCAATAAAAAGATTCAAGTGAAAGATAATTGGCTTGAATGAATTTTTAAGTCAACCAATCAAAAAAGAAGTCTAAATATAGACTCTTAACAAGTCAAGAGTTGGTTGAGTTAAAATAAAGAAGGAAGAAGAAGAGGAACAAAACGAAACTTTCAAGTTGAAGATTTACTTTATAATTTATAAAGTGGTGAATAACTTCCTAGAATAGTTTTAGCTTTATTTTTATAAATTCAAATCTTAATAAAAATAATGTATTTTTTTTTCTTCCTAAGGGAATGTGTAACTGTGGTAACTTGTTGAATGCATCAGATTCTTTCTACTTAGGGCTCGTTCTCAAATTACGTCACGCTCAGGGGGGGACGGGTGGGGGGGAGGCGTTGTCGAGAATTTGTGACAGGTGGGAAGAGGGTCTAAAAAGGTCATTTTTGGCGTGACGTAATTTGCGAACGACCCCTTTGGCCTTACTGACCCATGACCCACTCGCTCACACAAATTGAATTTAAATTTAGAACAAACAAACAAATAAAATATAATAGTATATAATACTGATTCTATATATGTACAATATGTTAAAGATTCTAGCAGTCATTCGCCAACACTCACACTTAGACACATACAACCTGACATGCTAGACTACTCAACGTTCCAGTTGATCTCAACCAAATAGTCACTCATGAACAAAACATGAATAAAACAAAAGTTGAACATTTCATTCGTAACCAGTAAATGATTAAATAATAGTTCTTTCCCTTTAAAAAGAAGAGATTTTGAATATTTGGTATGGTACAAAGTACAAAGTACAAGGTACTCACTGCGGTTTGAATAAAAATAAACAGATTATTTTTTTTTTTAAATATCTTCTTTTAGATATTACTTTTTTCAGCTGAACAGAATGTATTGTAAGAAATCTAGGACAATCTTCGCTAATTAATTTTATTGTGTAATATGATTACATGTACAGCTATTGTTAAATACAAAGCGAACTCAGATATCGTCATTTTGTTACTGTGCACACAAGTTAACCGGCGAATGTCAAACTTAACCATATTTATTGTGTTACTGCGTACACAATTTTAACATTGCTTATCAAACCTAACTATATTTATTGTGTTACTGCGTACACAACTTTAACATTGCTTATCAAACCTAACTATATTTATTGTGTTACTGCGTACACAAATTTAACATTGCTTATCAAACCTAACTATATTTATTGTGTTACTGCGTACACAACTTTAACATTGCTTATCAAACCTAACTATATTTATTGTGTTACTGCGTACACAACTTTAACATTGCTTATCAAACCTAACTATATTTATTGTGTTACTGCGTACACAACTTTAACATTGCTTATCAACCTAACTATATTTATTATGCTAATTTTAAAAAAACAACAACTGTTTTATTGTTTGGAATACCTGTTGTGTAACGACCTGTCGACTTGATCACGTGATATGCTTAGTCAAGTTCACCAGTGCACAGATCTTTTTAAATTCCCGTATTTGTGACACTCCCGAAAACGTGGTCGAGGACACTATTCGCTTGAAATGTGACCCTACGAGTCGTGTGTCCCAGATTGGGAATGCCTCTCTGTCAAACTAACTGCTCTGAGTGTCCTGACACACGAAGAGTCGTGAGTCCCTCCGACACACCGATGGCTTGAGTGTCCTGACACAGGAAGAGTCGTGAGTCCCTCCGACACACCGATGGCCTGAGTGTCCTGACACAGGAAGAGTCGTGAGTCCCTCCGACACACCGATGGCCTGAGTGTTCTTACACAGGAAGAGTCGTGAGTCCCTCCGACACACCGATGGCCTGAGTGTCCTTCTCACACACGAATAGTCATGACTGCCCATCTAACACACGTTTAGATTTGAATGCTCGTCAGATAAACGCACATATGCAGTAGCCATTCCTCAGATAGACACACAGGTGGAGCTGGAAGTCCTCAGATAGACACACAGGTGGAGCTGGAAGTCCTCAGATAGACACACAGGTGGAGCTGGAAGTCCTCAGATAGACACACAGGTGGAGCTGGAAGTCCTCAGATAGACGGACAGGTGTAGGTTGCATTCCTCAGATAGACACACAGGTGGAGCTGGAAGTCCTCAGATAGACGGACAGGTGTAGGTTGCATTCCTCAGATAGACACACAGGTGAAGCTGGAAGTCCTCAGATAGACGGACAGGTGTAGGTTGCATTCCTCAGATAGACACACAGGTGGAGCTGGAAGTCCTCAGATAGACACACAGGTGGAGCTGGAAGTCCTCAGATAGACGGACAGGTGTAGGTTGCATTCCTCAGATAGACACACAGGTGGAGCTGGAAGTCCTCAGATAGACGGACAGGTGGAGCAGGAAGTCCTCAGATAGACACACAGGTGGAGCTGGAAGTCCTCAGATAGACACACAGGTGGAGCTGGAAGTCCTCAGATAGACGGACAGGTGGAGCTGGAAGTCCTCAGATAGACGGACAGGTGGAGCTGGAAGTCCTCAGATAGACGGACAGGTGTAGGTTGCATTCCTCAGATAGACACACAGGTGGAGCTGGAAGTCCTCAGATAGACGGACAGGTGTAGGTTGCATTCCTCAGATAGACACACAGGTGGAGCTGGAAGTCCTCAGATAGACGGACAGGTGTAGGTTGCATTCCTCAGATAGACACACAGGTGGAGCTGGAAGTCCTCAGATAGACGGACAGGTGTAGGTTGCATTCCTCAGATAGACACACAGGTGGAGCTGGAAGTCCTCAGATAGACGGACAGGTGTAGGTTGCATTCCTCAGATAGACAGAGAGGTGTAGATGGAAGCTGATGTAGCCAGGAGGGTATTAATTGTGGTGGTCAAGGCACCACCCGGCGTGCTGTTGATGAGTCATCATTGTCCCCAAAGCTCTCGCCACTCAGAAAACCTAAGTGTTCATGAACATTCTTTAAACCATTTTGTCCCCTGAGTTTTTATGTTTCTCGTGACACCTTCATTTAGCCAGTCCCCCTGTTCTGTCAATGTTATTGTACATTCAATTGGGCATCCACCGTGTTTATGGTCACAGACCTAGACATACTGTCATTGACACCAGACCTAGACATACTGTCATTGACACAAGACCTAAACATATTGTCATCGACACAAGACCTAGACATGCTGTCATCGACACCAGACCTAGACGTGCTGTCATTGACACCAGACCTAGACGTGCTGTCATTGACACCAGACCTAGAGTGCTGTCATTGACAACAGACCTAGACGTGCTGTCATTGACACCAGACCCAGACGTGCTGTCATTCGTTGGGTCAATGATCGTTTTTCAGGGCACGCATTAGTCTTGAAACATTTCTAACAGAGATCGCCAACAACCTACGTCTCGTAACAACGTCTTACCGGTGTGGTTGCGTGGATGGGGTTACGAAGACGGAACTTACGCTCTGTGCCCTGTTACAGGGCTTCTCAAACTTTCTTGCAGCGGCTTGCTTTGTTGGTTGAATTCCACTGAACATCATCGCCATCAGTTAATTTTAAGTGCGAGGTACATAAAAAAAGACGTGAGCTGGGTTCTTGCCCTGGGACAAAACTGCAGTGCCAAATATAACGTGAGGTGGGCCCTAGCACTGGGACGAAACCTCTATGCATCCCCACAGCTGACTGAGACGGTTGGCCCCAGTAATTATTTTATATACAGCCATTCAATAAATATATATAATTTTTGGAGTATATAAAAAATTCATCAAAATCTTTTTTTTGGACGAATTCAAGCGTGTCACTAATAAATAAAATGTAATAAATTCACGGTTCATTTAGTGTGGTGGGGGTGGCAGTGGCGGCACCGGCTGCTGCATGTTGTGCAGGAGCATGCGAGGGAGCACCGGCCTGCTCATGGGCAGCGACGTCACGCCGTGCCTGTAGTAGAGCGAGTCCATGCTGGAGAGGAGGGCGGCCGCGTGGGGGTGATACGACGCCCAGTACGGGTTCGTCTGCAGCATCCTCTGCACGGCTGCGTAGTTCCCAGCTTCGGCTAGCAGCTCCAGGCCCACAGCTGTCTGCCTTTTCCATTTCGTCCTGAGGAGTGGACAAAAACCAACAAATAAAATTAATACAAATGAAAATAAAAAAAAATAATTGACTATATATAGATTTATAAATTTTTTACAAGTAGCGAATTATAATCGTTACGGGGGATGATGGCGTAGCTTACGTCTTGTGTGTATTGTAGTAGAAGGAGGGGTACACGGAGATAGGTTTCTCTTAATTGTTGTTTTTTACTCGCTGCTCTGTGTGTGCGCTCCCCCCCCCCAAACATAATAATGGGCTCTAAGTTTGATGCCCCCAGCACTTTAACATCACTTCGTGGGGATGATGGCGTAGGTTACGTTTTTTGTGTATTGTAGTAGAACGAGGGGTACACGGAGATAGGTTTCTCTTAATTGTTGTTTTTTACTCGCTGCTCTGTGTGTGCGCTCCCCCCCCCCCAAACATAATAATGGGCTCTAAGTTTGATGCCCCCAGCACTTTAACATCACTTCGTGCAGTAGACAATCTTTGGGAAGTTCAGCCCCCACACCTCTAGTGACGTTTCGCATTTTTAAGTAGCCAAGCCGATCACTGCGTAAAGCATCCCCCAGTCCCCAGATCGAATGATGTACCCTATTAATGGTCCTCTTATTTCAAAGAGTTGAGATCCACCATTATCTCTAGAAACAATTAGAGCTGGTGGGTCTGTGGGTAATTGCCTTACAACTAACACGATCAAAATTGGGCACCCAGAACTATGCGTCATTGTGCATTAGTCCTGTATACATATCTTAAGGAGTTAAATGAGCACAAACATTATCAATTTATGACACCATCTACAAATAGCTTTTCTTTACATAAGTTAAGATTATGTATTGAGAAACTTTCTCGTTCATATATTACATATATTGATGCTTTGTGGTTGAATTGATAATTTAATCTGAAGACCGTTTTCAAAGGCTACACACTGCACAATTAACCCTTTAATTAGTCCACACACTGCACATTAAACCCTTTACTTAGTATACACACTGTACAATTAACCCTTTACTCAGTCTACACACTGTACAATTAACCCTTTTCTCAGTCTACACACTGCACAATTAACTCTTTACTTTCGCTACACACTGCACAATTAACCCTTTACTTACTCTACACATTGCACAATTAATCTTTTACTTAGTCTACACACTGCACAATTAACCCTTTACTTATTCTACACACTGCACAATTAACCCTTTACTTACGCTACACACTGCACAATTAACCCTTTACTTAGTCTACACACTGTACAATTAACCCTTTACTTAGTCTACACACTGCACAGTTAACCCTTTACTTACGCTACACACTGCACAATTAACCCTTTACTTAGTCTACACACTGTACAATTAACCCTTTACTTAGTCTACACACTGCACAGTTAACCCTTTACTTACGCTACACACTGCACAATTAACCCTTTACTTAGTCTACACACTGCACAATTAACCCTTTACTTACGCTACACACTGCACAACTAACCCTTTACTTACGCTACACACTGCACAGTTAACCCTTTACCTAGGCTACACACTGCACAATTAACCCTTTACTTACGCTACACACTGCACAATTAACCCTTTACTTAGTCTACACACTGTACAATTAACCCTTTACTTACGCTACACACTGCACAATTAACCCTTTACTTACGCTACACACTGCACAGTTAACCCTTTACCTAGGCTACACACTGCACAATTAACCCTTTACTCAGTCTACACACTGCACAGTTAACCCTTTACCTAGGCTACGCACTGCACAATTAACCCTTTACTCAGTCTACACACTGCACAATAACCCTTTACTCAGTCTACACACTGCACAGTTAATCCTTTACCTAGGCTACGCACTGCACAATTAACCCTTTACTCAGTCTACACACTGCACAATAACCCTTTACTCAGTCTACACACTGCACAATTAACCCTTTACTTACGCTATACACTGCACAATTAACCCTTTACCTAGGCTACGCACTGCACAATTAACCCTTTACTCAGTCTACACACTGCACAGTTAACCCTTTACTCAGTCTACACACTGCACAATCAACCCTTTACTTAGGCTACAACTGCACAATTAACCCTTTACTTAGGCTACACACTGCACAGTTAACCCTTTACCTAGGCTACACACTGCACAATTAACCCTTTACTTACGCTACACACTGCACAGTTAACCCTTTACCTAGGCTACACACTGCACAATTAACCCTTTACTCAGTCTACACACTGCACAGTTAACCCTTTACTCAGTCTACACACTGCACAATTAACCCTTTACTTAGGCTACAACTGCACAATTAACCCTTTACTTAGGCTACAACTGCACAATTAACCCTTTACTCAGTCTACACACTGCACAATTAACCCTTTACTTAGTTTACACACTGCACAATTAACCCTTTACTTAGGCTACAACTGCACAATTAACCCTTTACTTAGGCTACAACTGCACAATTAACCCTTTACTTATTCTACACACTGCACAATTAACCCTTTAATTAGTCTACACACTGCACAATTAACCCTTTACTTAGTCTACACACTGCACAATGAACCCTTTACTTAGTCTACACACTGCACAATTAACCCTTTACTTAGTCTACACACTGCACAATTAACCCTTTACTTAGTCTACACTCTGCACAATTAACCCTTTACTTAGTCTACACTCTGCACAATTAACCCTTTACTCAGTCTACACTCTGCACAATTAACCCTTTTCTGTGCGGTCGTCATGGTTTGAACAAGACTTTTCTTTCCGTCAAAAACCACCTACAGAAACGTAATCTCATCTTTTTTTTTTTTTCGGAATGCCATAATGGGGAATTGGAAATCCAAAACTGAAATATTCACCTTAAGATATCATGTCCCTTACTCTTAACAAAAAAAATATCCTTTATGTAGAGTAATTAACCAAATTCTTGGCAGTTATTCGGTCGGCAGAATGACAGAACTAATTATAAAGCCGACTCACAACATATTGTAAGGAAACCTAATCTAAATGTGACATAAAATAGCGCTCCATTACCTCCCAGATACCCATTTGTGCCCGTCTTTATCAACGCCGGTCTCCGCTCCTGAACCCCCCTCACCCCCACCCCCACCCCAAGCCCCCAAACTCAAACCATCGCACCCAAGAACCCATCGGCTACCCACACTTCATTGCAGGATAAATTATGAAGCAGCACTTTCCCAGCTTCATTGGGACTTATAGGTGTAAGCGATAGCGAGGTGGGGGTGGGGGTGGGACGGGGCGCCACCCAGTTCTTGGGCCCAAGTTGAAATCAATACCTGCCCCCCCCCTCCTCTCCACAACACGGCTCTTCCCGCACCTAAGTTGTGAAGCATGATCCTAGTGTTGTCGGCGACCACTGCGAGTCCCTATCATTAGACGCCTCATTTTTTGCAGACGCCCCATTTGTTGCAGGACAATTCTTTTCTTTACAAAAAATAAATGGATCTTGTTCATTTGAAACTGAGACAAGGAGGTGCGTTGGGTTGGGTGCTGGGAAGGTGGGGGGAAAAGAGGTGGGATCTGAGATGGCGCGTCAAACATCTTGTAATTAGTGACGTTGAACCCAAGCAAGTGAGGGTGGCGTACTAGAGTTTTGACCAATTTACGACGGTGAGAACGGATCGTATGACGACGCTGGATGACGGCGTGGTGGAGTTTGGCGAGCTTCTCAGAACTGAAACCAAGGGCAAGCTACTCCGAAGATGAAAAACTACTGAGGGAAGTGAAAAGAGGAAACAATAGGTTTTTTGAGGTGCGAGGCAATGTTTGACATGACAAGATGGCTGATGACATGACAAGATGGCTGATGACATGACAAGATGGCTGATGACATGACAAGATGGCTGATGACACGACAAGATGGCTGATGACATGACAAGATGGCTGATGACACGACAAGATGGCTGATGACATGACAAGATGGCTGATGACACGACAAGATGGCTGATGACATGACAAGATGGCTGATGACACGACAAGATGGCTGATGACATGACAAGATGGCTGATGACACGACAAGATGGCTGATGACATGACAAGATGGCTGATGACACGACAAGATGGCTGATGACATGACAAGATGGCTGATGACACGACAAGATGGCTGATGACATGACAAGATGGCTGATGACACGACAAGATGGCTGATGACACGACAAGATGGCTGATGACATGACAAGATGGCTGATGACATGACAAGATGGCTGATGACATGACAAGATGGCTGATAACATGACAAGATGGCTGATGACACGACAAGATGGCTGATGACATGACAAGATGGATGATGACACGACAAGATGGCTGATGACACGACAAGATGGGCGATGACATGACAAGATGGCTGAATGGCATCGCGCAGTAATAGGTAAGGAATAAATTTATGTAGCCATACAACTATGTAATCACGTGTTAAATATGAGGTAAGTGATGTATGCGGCATTTCTTTTAGGGGGGGGGGATCTTTTTAATGACATGCATAAATATGTTTAGTAGTATGAACTGAGGAAGAGCTTAACTCAAAGTCGGGCAGATCGATTGCTCTAGACCACGGGGTCACCACCAAACTACGGCACGCGGGCCGGATCCGGCCCGTGAGACCAGTTCATCCGCGCCCCTCCCCCCACCTCCCGTCGGTACTTGAATTTGCTTGATGAAACGTAGGGAACACGAGACGTTGTGATACAATTTAAAATTCAATATTATGTTTAGAATACTAGGAGATCTTTACACGTGCGGAGACCTCCTGGCTGCTATGCGCCTTAGTTTACCGTCTTCAATTTTAAATTATGTATCTATATGTTCTTTATTTATTATAGACCTGTTTACCCTCGCACTCCTAAAATCGTAAAATATCGTCTCGAAATCGTACAATACCGTATCTTAATTGTAAATAATACTAATAATTATAATAAAGTGTATTTAAAAAACACGCTTCATCCCCAAAGGCTCGAAGCGCGGTACAAGAGTAAAATAAATAAATATACGGTCTATAGAATGAATACAATCACTGCTTGCATCCCAGTGCACAGTGGGATCGGAATAAACTTGCGTAAAAAAAAGGTTGACTTCTAAAAGTAGATGACCGACTTTGATATTGGAATCTGCGGTCAATTTATTTCGCAGACGTGCATTTGCTATTGATATTTTTAAATAATGAGAAGTACAAATCGCATGATCAAGTCTATCACTGATCAAAATTAAGTTTCTGGCGAAATTTAACGTGGTTCAAACTCGAAGTCAGATCAGCAAGATGTATTTAAATAAGAATTAATAAACAAATGAGGACATTTAAAAAATACCTATGAATTAACTATGAATTAAGATTGTTCTTTTTTTTTTGTGTGGGGAAAAAGGTGGTTTTAAAAAAAATATAAAATAAGAATCAATTTCCATTAAGCCTATTCCCGATAATATATTATAGTCTGAAAACTACCACAAACTGGAAATGGGTGAAAGAAAGAGGAGTTTTGGAAACATACGGGGACATTAAAAATCGTATTTGCCGCGATTGTAGCTAACGGTCCTTCGGCAAGTTCAGTTTTTGTGGAGATCAGAAGAACTTGGAGAGAACATAGTGCTACAGAAAACTAGGAACCTGCTCTGGCACTGGATGAGTCTACTGATCCCTCACAACTTCTCGTGATTATTTGTGCTGTCAATTTTGACTTTCAGATAAAGGAAGTGTGTGCATCCGTTTGCGGCATGCCTGGAACAACTCTTGTCTGGGAGCAAAGATTTTCAAAAATAAAGTATATGACGCAAACACATGAAACGGGGGGGGGGTGTTATTCATGAACATTTGACAACAGTTCGTACGATTGGATGCAGCAGTTCCGAACCAAACATTCATGATATCTTGAAATCCAAAATTATCTTTCCCAAATTTCAATGACCTTTTTTTTATGCAGCAGTTCCGAACCAAACATTGATGATATCTTGAAATCCAAAATTATCTTTCACAAATTTCAATGACCTTTTTTTTTTTTTTTGTCTGCTTAGTTCATGGGATTTGAAAATGTGCGCACTAAGTCTGATGAAACTTTCATTTTGCTAACGTCGCCTTCTTTGCCAACTTCTTTTTAGTAAATAAATATGTTATTTGTCTTTGCTTGTTTTTTTTTTTTTTTTTTTTTTTTTTTGTTTGTTTTTTTTTTTTTTTTTGTTTTTTTTGCATTGCGCGCCAACTCATAGATTATCATAGACTACTAAACTTAGTTTTTCGTCTTTTTTCCCAGAGCTTTCGTTCTGGCTTGAAAGTATTGGACAGCATGATGTATCCGGCCCTGGCCCGCAAGTATTGGACAGCATGATGTATCCGGCCCTGGCCTGCAAGTATTGGACAGCATGATGTATTCGGCCCGCGCTCGTCATTTTTTTCCGGATATCCAGCGCCGTGAAAAATGTTTGTTAATCCCTGCTCTAGACAATGAAAGAGTGGATATGGTGGATACGGTGGATATGGTTGGGGTCTGACAAGCGGAACGCACCACACAATGCACCACCCACTACACCACTACACCACTAACCAAACCACACACCACACCACCCATCACACCACACACTACACAACACACTACGCCAAACTCTTCACAGCCCAACGTAATTTTAAGACGCCAAGGATTGATACATACATAGAGCTATCCATTAAATTGTGATTAAACAAATGTGACGTCATCAAGTGAACCAACCGCAAAATTCTTTTCCAGCTCTATTACTTTATAAATTTATTTATTTCGAAAACATCAACTTTCACGATATACTCCGAGAGGATTACACTCCGAGAGGATTACACTCCGAGAGGATTACACTCCGAGAGGATTACACTCCGAGAGGATTACACTCCGAGAGGATTACACTTTAAGGGAGATCTTTGAAGAATCAATTAATTTTGAACCCGTCCTTTCTGCAAAGGGAATACTTCCGGCTGGTCCGTCACTTTGAAAACTTTGAGAATCATTGATGAGAAGCAATGTTGAGTAGCGATTTTGATGAGCAATGTAGAGTAGCAATTTTGACGAGCAATGTTGAAGAGCAATTTTGATGAGGAATGTTGAAGAGAAATTTTGATGAGCAATGTTGAAGAGAAATTTTGATGAGCAATGTTGAAGAGAAATTTTGAAGAGCAATGTTAAACAGCAATATTCATAAACAAAGTTAAGGAGCAAGGTTGTATAACTATAAGGACGAGCAATCCAGTAACATCAATATTACTACGTATAATAGCACGACATCCTCTTAATTCTGCCCCCCCCCCCCAAACCTCACCAAATATTACAACTTTACTTTCATTAGCATTCTACTTTTAAATAGTATCACAAATAATTCTTTAAAATAATAATTAATCATAATTTACAAATAATAATAATTCTTTATTCATATATGCAGGCGTGTAGGGCTGTAGCGATGTGTTGTACGGGCGCTCAAAATAAAGTTCCCGAAAACTGCACTTAGCAGTATAAAAATGTGTGTTGGTTTTAAGCTCCACAAGATTCAACTCCGAATTCTAAAAGGGATTCCTAAAAATATAGTTAGTTATATCGGTTTATTTGACTGAAACCGATTTCATTTTATGTCCGATACAATGAATCACTTCCAGTAGATGGGAACTTCGCGCATTGTCGCCGCCACATTGTTTGACGGGCCACTTCCAGTAATTATAAAAAAAAGTTACCAATCAATTCTTGGAAATGGCTTTTTTTTTTAATAAGGATTTCCCGCAGCAATTTTCATTGGGTTTTCGCTGCAATTATTTTGCCAAGCCTGTTTAGAAAGCGGGGATAACTCGTATACGATAAGGATTCCCGATATATGGTTTTGGAATTTTCCCCCTTCCCAGATCGCCCTGTTTCGATCCACCATTTTTTGGCCCCCATGTCATTACCCTAGAGACGCGAAAACCTCCTAAAGCGAACACAATCTGCCATACTCTGCCCAGCGTTGCCGCGCCGATGGACCGGAAACGCCTCCATTTTGTTCATTAAAGACCGGCTCTCTATCGCTAAGGCGGGCCATTTTCGCCTCGTTTCCACTCCATGAATGCCAATGAAGGCGCAATTTTCTCCCGGCATTCCAACTCGTAACGCCAGTTGACGCCATGTTTGTTTTCCCGCTCTCGGAATTTCTCGCCCCGTCGCGCCCAACTCATGAGAGTCTCTCTTGATTGGCCACTTGAGAATTGCTAGATTTCAAGATGGCCACCGAATCCTGTTTGTCAATCTTTGTATCCGTTTCCCCCCTTCTCAATCATTCCGGTATAATTATTCCCAATTTCTTTCGCATTTCCTCTTTATCTCAGATTTTCTCCGCCCCTTGATTCCGGAAATGGAGGAAAATTTGGCCAGATTTCTCATGATTATAAATCGAATCAGAATATATCGAATACTCCCATGACAAGCTTAAGAGTGCGATTATTCAAATGCCAATGTTTATTTATTTTTTCTTTTTATTGTTGAACGATAAATTCATACGCTGCTTTGAAACTGACGGAAATCATTTTCAGGTACCGTTCACGTGAATCTAGGACGGACAATGTTGGCGATGAGATGGACGTGGCATGTTTGATGTTTGTTGTTAAAGATTGTATTCAATAGTTTTTCTATCAAAACGTCTTTGATTCAGGTTAAGAAGCCGAGTGTTCGTTGCAAGAATAACCATGTTGTCCTTTGAGCATTCAGTTCTACGCATTTTAAATGTCCCATGAACTTTTGTTCAATGTAGATCATTATTGGTGCTTACTTTGGTAATTTAAATATTTTTTTACAAATCAAATTTGATTTGTACTTTGTATGGATTATCTAAGAAATTATTTATTTTTTTTGACTCAGTCGACTCCAGCACCCAGTTTGCGACCCTTGAAATCACGAAATATTTTTATTATTATTATTTTCTTAATACCTCCCCCCCCCCCCCGCCTATTTAAATATTTTTTTACAAATCAAATTTTATTTTTACTTTTTATGGATTATCTAAGAAATTATTTATTTTTTTTGACTCAGTCGACTCCCGCACCCAGTTTGCGACCCTTGAAATCACGAAATATTTTTATTATTATTATTTTCTTAATACCTCCCCCCCCCCCCTGTCCAATTTTATTTCGGCCCGCACAAGTTTTTCATAAAGTGTTACGGCCCGTCTTTTATTTTGAGTTATGCAGGCCTGCACAATATTAAATCTAGACATCATTTTAAATTTACCACATGGTTGGTTGCTATATTTGAGTGATCATATCATTAGTTCTTCATCAGTTAGATGACAGAAAAGTAAATCAATTGTAATTTATTTTTGAGAAATTCGTCACAAATTAAAGTAAAAACTAGATTGTATTCTGTCTAGAAGTAACATTTAAACTATTCGACATGGGATGAATTAACTTAATGTTATAAGTACCGATTCCTAGACATTGTATCCCATTGACAACTATTGTATTTAATTACGTATCCGGAAATTTGATCGAAAGAAATTTCGTCGACGGTAAATTGATCGACGGTAATTTGATCGAACGGAAATATGGTCGAATCTTTTTTTCCGTTTTTACGTTTAAATTTGGCTTCAATTGTCTTTTTGAACCCATTATTTTGTTTTACTATATAGTATAGTGCGTTCAAAAAGAAATTTGACGAAAATTTTTAAGTGTGAACTGAAAAAAAGATTCGACCAAATTTCCTGTCGATCAAATTACCGTCGATCAATTTACCGTCGACGAAATTTCTTTCGATCAAATTTCCGGTAACCATTTAATTATCGATTGTTAGACATTGTATCACAGTGATAATATTGGTTGCCACGTGCTGACAGTATATTTGCCAGAAGCACTCTACAACTTGATTGACGACAGTATCTTTACCAACCCAGCTGAAGTACTATCCACTGCTTACGAGAGTATCTTTACCAACCCAGCAGAAGTACTCTCCACTGCCTACGAGAGTATCTTTGCCAACCCAGCAGAAGTACTATCCAGTTGGCGGGTTGCTGAGGTTCATAGATTGCAATGTTGATTGTTGAGTCTTGTAGAGTCACATACAACACACGGAGAACTCATCCTAGCAGCAGTTGGCGGGTTTCTGGGGTTCATAGATATTTAGGCCGAGATTATGAAAGAGATCAGAGTTATTACATCCGCACTGGGTAGATTGTTGAAACGACTTAAATCTCTTCAAGCTCACAGACTTGTTCTAATATAATGAAGCTTTGGATCACACTCTGTGAGTTGCAAGACATGTAGAACCAGACATGCAGAAACAGACATTGTAGAAACAGACAAGTAACAACAGACATGTAGAGACAGACATGTAGAAACAGACATGTAGAAACACACATGTAGAAACAGACACTCACTAACAGACATGTAGAAACAGACACTCAATAACAGACATGTAATAACAGACATGTAATAACATACATTTAAAAACAGACATGTTATAACAGACATGTAATAACAGACATGTATAGACACGTAGAAACAGACACTTAATAACAGGCATGCAATAACAAACATGTAATAACAGGCATTTAATAACAGACATGTAATAACAGACATGACAATGTAATAACAGACACGTAGAAGCATACACTTAATAACAGACATGCAATAACAGACATGTAGATAATGATTCTTAATCACAGACATGTCAGCGTGATCAAAAAATATATTTTTATTAAAAAAAAGATAGAAATACATTCTACCAATGTCGCTTTAAAATGCACTAAAATTAGAAAATAATTTAAAAGAAAATGGGTGTGTGTTGTTTTGTGTGTGTTGTTGTGTGTGTTGTTTTGTGTGTGTTGTTTTGTGTGTGTGTTGTTTTGTGTGTGTGTTGTTTTGTGTGTGTGTCCGTTTGCTTTGTTTTGATGTTTTCTTTCTTTTTTTTTTTTTTAAATGAGGATTGCACTTGTTCACTTGCTGTAAGTTAATAAAGTTTGTTAATTTTTTTTTTTTAATTGATTTGTTTTTTTAAAAATATAATTTTTATAGTATAGATAAATTGTATATTTGTTACAATCATTGACTTTGGTGTCGGCTTTCCTTGCATACATTTTGTTTCTCCAGCCCTTACNTTTTTTTTTATTTTTTTTTTTTTTTTTTTTTTTTTTAAATGAGGATTGCACTTGTTCACTTGCTGTAAGTTAATAAAGTTTGTTAATTTTTTTTTTTTAATTGATTTGTATTTTTAAAAATATAAATTTTATAGTATAGATAAATTGTATATTTGTTACAATCATTGACTTTGGTGTCGGCTTTCCTTGCATACATTTTGTTTCTCCAGCCCTTACTTCCGTGTGTCGTTAATTCAATTTAGCCAATATCGTAAAGCAGATGACATTTTCAAACCTATAAAACGGTACGTCACACAGCTTTCAAACCGACGATACCCTCAATACATGCATGAACTGCATTCTTAGCTGGACGGCGCCAGGTCAGCTGACCAACAGTTTGTTTCTTTAAGTTGGACCTGAAGGGTTGTGTGGTCAGTCAGTGGCCAATGCTGGCACGCGTGTTTGCCGCGTCTCACGTCCAGACGCCGACGGATGCCGTGGGTCCTGACACTGCAATGTTGATTGTTGAGTCTTGTAGAGTCACATACAACACACGGAGAACTCATCCTAGCAGCACCAACCCAGCTGAAGTACTCACCATTGCCTGCGAGAGTGTCTTTGCCGACACAGCAATTACTCTTCACGACTGTCTCAAAACCCATCTCAGATATTTTTCTCCCTCCGCATCCCTTCCTCATCTCTTGACATGGCACCACTGGCCGTTTGATAGGACCCAGTCCCTGTAGGTCAAACCTGGTATATCGTGTAAGTGACGTCACGGCCGCGGTCCGGAGCGCGCGCGCCGAGTCTTAATTTATGACCGTCATCAAATTTATCGTTGACCCGGTTGACATCGCGTGAGGACCCCTCGGCTCAGACGCTCGCACGATCTCCAGCACGTGACATGAAAGGGGTGGGGGTGGGAGGGGGGAGGGGCTGGATGTCAGGGAGCTGCTCGAATGCGAGTTGGAAACTGGCTTGTAGGGGCAGCAAGAGGTCAGACCTTGATGGCAGATTTGAATGTGTTAAAGAAAGATTTCAGAGATGTCGGGGCCCTGGAACAGAACAAACGCAGACTTGCTTGCTGGGCGCCGCTGGCGAAACGTCTGCTCCCCGGAACTCAAACCAAAAGAAAAAAAAAAGGCGACTGGTTTTTGTCAAGCCGTAACGGGTTTTTTTTTTTTTTTTTTTTGTGGGGGGANGGGGGGGTGGGGGGTGGGGGGGGTTCTTCTTTCTTTCGTTTCTTTTGTTGATGGCATTGTCATGTCATTTATGAATTAATGCCCAGCCTGTCACGTGATGTTTGTGTCATGGCGGGACAAAGGGGAGAGAAGTGTAAACATGACAAGTAGCCATTTTCCAAGAGTTGTATGACCTCTGGGGAAAGAAGTGAGGGACACAAACCAGCTCGGTTTTCTGGTAACCACAGGTTACAAAAGTTCCGAATTATAAACACTGAATGGTGAATTTGGTAAATCGACTAATAATGGTGTGCAAGATGAGAGAGACTATTGACAAGACACTGTGTATAAGTTGAGAGAGACTATTGACAAAATGATTGTGAATAAGACGAGAGATTCTATTGACACAATGAGTGTGTGTAAGATGAGATAGACTATTGACACAATGATTGTCCGTACGATAAAAAAAAATATCATTAGTTTTTAAAATAGAAAAAAAAATTCGTTTCAATAAAATATAATTATAACGATTGTTCAATAAAATATAATTGTAAGGAGTATTCAATAAAATGTAATTGTAAGGATTGTTCAATAAAATAAAATTGTAAGGATTGTTCACTAGTATAGTAGTCTAAGGATTGTTGTTCACTAGTATAGTAGTCTAAGGATTGTTCAATAATATAGAGTTGTAAGGATTGTTCAATAATATAGAAATGTAAGGATTTTTCAATAAAATATAATTTTAAGGATTGTTCAATAAAATATAAGTGTAAGGATTGTTTAATAAAATATAAGTGTAAGGATTGTTCACTAGTATAGAATGGTAAGGATTGTTCAACATTATGTATTGTAAGGATGTAGTGGCTGCTTATATAAAAGTTAAATACCTGAATTTAAAACCGTTAAATAGCTGCAAAAATAACAGTTAATTTACTGCATTTATAGCAATTAAATAACTTCATTTATCACAGTTCAATAACTGCTTTTATAACAATTAAATATTTATTTTAAAAATCATTTACTGCGGCATGACTACATCCGCAACTTTAACAAATAGTTTTTATCAAATTTGCCGCAAATGAAACTGATTCTTAGTGTTACTCTCAGTCACATCTCTCATTGGCTGCGTCCAAAACACGACGAGTCTATGATGTGCCTCCTGCCCCCCTCAGTTCCAATTAGTTCCATCACTGGTTCCTTCTTCTCCTTAACCTCAAGTCGACGAGAAAACTTGCTAATTCCCACCATGGCAGTAATTGCTGGCCATCTAAATCTCCCTTAAACTCTTGTTACATCCCGCTCCCGGTAGCGTTAGCTCATCGGCGCCCCCTCTTGTGCTAACGTTGCAGGCGCCCTCGACGGATCAACCCACAATGCGAATTATCGCGAGGGCGAAACCACAGGGGCATGGCGGCTCTCATGAATAAATTAATGTCGTAACAATGCACAGTTAGAGCCGAGTCTGTTTTCGGCAAAGATGGCCGCCAGCTAGAGACGGGCCGGCGAGAGAGTTCCGTTGGTGCACGGTTGTTAACCGCGCGCGAGAGAGAGAGAGCGTTGATGGTAACAGGGTGATGACAGAGTCACCGTGCGAACTCGAGTGTACTCGGAAATCTGTCGCAGTTCCCGAGGACGTCCTTGTCCCCTCGAGAGCGTGACTACTCGGCCCGAACCGACCTGGCAGATTGCGTAAAGATGGCGACGCCTGATAAGAGCAAAGGGGTTGGGGGGGGGGCCTAGGGGGCTTAAGCCTATCTTTTTGATCAGTGCAAGTTATCTGTCCCTTAATGAGCTGAGAGAGAGAGGGGTCTGCAGGTCACTTAATGAAGTCCTTGACAGACGGAATTGAGCTATTTGCTGGTGTGGGACAGCGAGTGGGACGTGGAATGGGTGTTACAATCACGGGATCATTAGGCGATGGGTCGGAGGGACGAGGGTTTTATTTCAAATTGTTTTGTTTTTCCTTGTTTTCACGTCTTCATTAAACGATCGTTAAGCTGTTACTTCGCTAAATTATTATATGCATTTAATGGAGACTTAGTGTCTGGTAGAATGGTGTATTGGTACATCAATGACTCAGTTTGATAGGTCTGTGGTTGGGTTCGATAGGTCAGAGGTTGGGTTGGATAGGTCAGGGGCTGGGTTAGATAGGTCTGTGGTTGGGTTTGATAGGTCTGTGGTTGGGTGTGATAGGTCTGTGGTTGGGTGTGATAGGTCTGTGGTTGGGTGTGATAGGTCTGTGGTTGGGTGTGATAGGTCTGTGGTTGGGTGTGATAGGTCTGTGGTTGGGTGTTTAGGTCTGTGGTTGGGTGTGATGGGTCTGTGGTTGGGTGTGATAGGTCTGTGGTTGGGTGTGATAGGTCTGTGGTTGGGTGTGATGGGTCTGTGGTTGGGTGTGATAGGTCTGTGGTTGGGTGTGATAGGTCTGTGGTTGGGTGTGATAGGTCTGTGGTTGGGTGTGAGAGGTCTGTGGTTGGGTGTGATAGGTATGTGGTTGGGTGTGATAGGTCTGTGGTTGGGTGTGATAGGTATGTGGTTGGGTGTGATAGGTCTGTGGTTGGGTGTGATAGGTCTGTGGTTGGGTGTGATAGGTCTGACTTGGGTTTGATAGGTCTGTGGTTGGGTGTGATAGGTCTGTGATTTGGTTTGATAGGTCATTGGTTGGGTTAGATAGGTCTGTGATGGGTTTGATAGATCTGTGGTTGGGTTTGATAGATCTGTGGTTGGGTTTGATAGGTCTGTGGTTGGGTGTGATAGGTCTGGGGTTTGGTGTGATAGGTCTGTGGTTGGGTGTGATAGGTCTGTGGTTGGGTTTGATAGGTCTGTGGTTGGGTGTGATAGGTCTGTGGTTGGGGTAGATAGGTCTGTGGTTGGTTGTTAAAGGTCAGTGGTTGGGTGTGATAGGTCTGTGGTTGTTTGATAGGTCTGTGGTTGGGTTTGATGGGTCTGTGGTTGGGTGTGATAGGTCTGTGGTTAGGTGTGATAGGTCTGTGGTTGGGTTTGATAGCTCTGTGGTTGGGTTTGATAGGTCTGTGGTTGGGTTTGATAGGTCTGTGGTTGGGTTTGATAAGTCTGTGGTTGGGTGTGAAAGGTCTGTGGTTGGGTTTGATAGGTCTGTGGTTAGGTGTGATAGGTCTGTGATTGGGTTTGATAGGTCTGTAGATGAGTTTGATAGGTCTGTGGTTGGGTTTGAAAGGTCTGTAGATGAGTTTGATAGGTCTGTGGTTGGGTTTGATAGGTCTGTGGTTGGGTTTGATAGGTCTGTAGATGGGTTTGATAGGTCTGTGGTTGGGTTTGATAGGTCTGTGGTTGGGTTTGATAGGTCTGTGGTTGGGTGTGATAGGTCTGTGGTTGGGTTTGATAGGTCTGTGGTTGGGTGTGATGGGTCTGTGGTTGGGTGTGATAGGTCTGTGGTTGGGTGTGATAGGTCTGTGGTTGGGTGTGATGGGTCTGTGGTTGGGTGTGATAGGTCTGTGGTTGGGTGTGATGGGTCTGTGGTTGGGTGTGATGGGTCTGTGGTTGGGTTTGATAGGTCTGTGGTTGGGTTTGATAGGTCTGTGGTTGGGTGTGATAGGTCTGTGGTTGGGTGGGATAGGTCTGTGATTGGGTTTGACAGGTCTGTAGATGGGTTTCATAGGTCTGTGGTTTGGTTTGATAGGTCTGTGGTTGGGTCGACGAAGATGGTCATTGGTCTTAGATACACTACAAACATACGCGGCATCTGCTCTGGCAAATGTCTGTGTCGTGGTGGTTGGAAGTTGTGTAAGAAGAGAGTTGTAAAGCATTGTGATTTTATTATGAAGGCATCAGCTGAACCCCAGCCTGCACATGCCTCTCTCCCTCCACACATCTGGTCAACACAAGGTAACACCTGGTGCACGTTACAGCTTGGCACCCGGGACGACAAAGGAGTTGGCAGCATGGACAGTGAGACAATGTCATATCCTATGGGACTCCAGCTCCGGACATTTCAAGTCGACGATTGACCTCCCCTCGGGGATCCGGTTTTTTGGGGGTTTTTTTTCTGGGCATTGATGACATACTTGACCAACGAACATCCGGTCACTCAATTTGTTTATTGTCAGTATAAAAGTCAGGGTCAATGTCAGAGTAAGTTTCTGGGTACATGTAAGTGTCATTGTCGGGGTCAGTGCATGCGTCAATGTCAGGATCAATGTCAGGGTCCATGTCAGGGTCAATGCAAAGGTCAATGTCAGGGTCAATTTCAGGGTCAATATCAGTTTTAAAATCAGGGTTAGTGTCGGGTAAGTGTTAGTTTTAGGTTTTGTGTCATTTTATACACTGCTTTTACACTTAATTTTACTACTAATATTCTTATTAATTTCAATATTGTTAAAATAATTGATATTATTAATATTACCAGAGAAATACATTTTTTTTTTACATCAGCATGATCATCATGATTATTATGATCACTATAATTATCTTTAGCTTACAAAAAGTGTAGTCACAAATTCCCTTTATACCGCGAAGCTGTAAAAAAGTGTTTTTACACTGTACCCTAAAGTCTAACAATTGTCAAACAACCTATTTCCTACTTCCAACCACCAACAAAAGATTACAATCTCGCCAACCTTTTCAACCTTGTCACCTGAGTTCCTGGCACAAATGAATACCTACAACGTCATCACTTCAAAAAAGGACGTTTTCTAATTAACTTTTTAGACCAAGTTTTTCTTCAATTTAAGAATGGGATTTAAAAAAACAAAAAAAACCAGTGGATAAAATGAGCTATCTAAAACATGCTTCACTAAAAGAGCCAACCATGCTTTATTTTTGGCAACCAAACGAAACAAACAACCCGATTACTGTGCTACATTTTAACACGCTTTGTAACTCTATGCCTAAGGTGAGGTGTGCAATGTGTGTGTGGTCGCTCTTCAACATCTGCAGTCATTCAAAGTGCATCATGTTATTGACTTTGTAGCAAGCATAAGAAGCTATGAATAGCGCCGTACTTTTGATGGAGTAGCGGCTCTTTACAATTACTGGAACCTACAGATTTTTTACATTTTTATTTTTAACTCCCTCATGGAGTCCTTCTATTAATTATATTCTTCTTTTTTCTTTTTTTTTTTTTTTTCGTCTTCCGTTCAAATGTATTTTTATAGTGGTCCATTTTCATGGCTGATATCGCTTCTAGTTGCCATGTGTAGATAATTTTGTTTTACAATTACTGGAACCTACAGATTTTTTACATTTTTATTTTTAACTCCCTCATGGAGTCCTTCTATTAATTATATTCTTCTTTTTTCTTTTTTTTTTTTTTTACGTCTTCCGTTCAAATGTATGTTTATAGTGGTCCATTGTCATGGCTGATATCGCATCTAGTTGCCATGTGTAGATAATTTTGCAGGTCTGCTAGAAGATGCGTCCAATGACAATCCAGACTGAGTTACGTCCCATCACTATCCACATTGAGTTACGTCCCATTACTATCTACACTGAGTTACGTCCAATCACTATCCACACTGAGTTACGTCCCATCACTATCGACACTGATTTACGTCCCATCACTATCGACACTGAGTTACGTCCCATCACTATCAACATTGAGTTAAGTCCCATCACTATCCACACTGAGTTACGTACATCACTATCCATATTGAGTTAATTCACATCACTATCCACACTGAGTTACGTCCCATCACTATCAACATTGAGTTAAGTCCCATCACTATCCATGTTGAGTTGATTAACAAAAATTTTTAACATCTTTTAATATTAGGGGAAACTTTGAGAACCAATGATTTAACTTTACAAAAATTAGTTTTAACAGCGTGTGTAAATATCATAACAATATCTCACTTTCATCGACATCGAACAATACACCATCTCTCTTCGATCAACATTGAACAATACACCATCTCACTTTGATCAACATAAAAACTTTCACCATCTCTCTTCGATCAACATTAAACAAAACACCATCTCACTTCGATCAAAATTGAACAATACACAATCTCACTTTCATCAACATTAAACAATACACCATCTTACTTTGATCAACATCGAACAACACACCATCTCACTTTGATCAACATCTAACAACACACCATCTCATTTTGATCAACATCAAACAACACACCATCTCTCTTTGATCAACATCGAACAACACACCATCTAACTTTGATCAACATCGAACAAAACACCATCTCACTTTGATCAATATAGAACAACACACCATCTCTGTTTGATAAATATAGAACAACACACCTTCTCACTTTTATCAACTTTGAACAACCACCATCTCTCTTTGATCACTATAGAACAACACACCATCTCTCTTTGATCAATATAGAACAACACACCTTCTCACTTTTATCAACTTTGAACAACCACCATCTCTCTTTGATCACTATAGAACAACACACCATCTCTCTTTGATCAATATAGAACAAGACACCATCTCAATTTGATCAACATCGAACAACACAGCATCTCACTTTGATCAACATCGAACAATACACCATCTCTCTTTGATCAACATCGAACAACACACCAACTCACTAAGATCAACATCGAACAACAACCTATCTTTATTTGATCAACATCGAACAACACACCATCTCATTAAATCAACATCGAACAATACACAATATCCCTTTCATCGACATCGAACAACACACCATCCTTCTTTAATCAATATAGAACAACACACCATCTCTGTTTGATCAATAGAGAACAACACACCATCTCACTTTGATCAACATCGAACAACACACCATCCTTCTTTAATCAATATAGAACAACACACCATCTCTGTTTGATCAATATAGAACAACACACCATCTCTCTTTGATCAATATAGAACAAGACACCATCTCAATTTGATCAACATCGAACAACACAACAACACACTTTGATCAACATCGAACAACACACCATCTCTCTTTGATCAACATCGAACAACACACCATCTCTGTTTGATCAATATAGAACAACACACCATATCACTAAGATCAACATCGAACAACACACCATCTCTCTTTGATCAACATCGAACAACACATTATCTCACTTTGATCAACATCGAACAACACACCATCTCACTAAGATCAACATAGCACAACACACCCTCTCTCTTTGATTAACATAGCACAACACACCATCTCTCTTTGATCCGTTCAGCAGTGGAAGCCGTGATGAACGTTTTGAGAACCTGGTCCACCATTCTCTTAAATCCAAAGAAACGATAAGGAAGTTTGGGGGGGGGGGGAAGGGGGGATCATTTCTACCCACCACAGTGTCAAATACTGACAATCAACACTCGAGCGACCCTCGGCCAATCTGGGACAACCCGCGATCTTAGCTGTTTGAACGTTTGGCCAAGCACTCCAGGAGCTTTAGGGTAACCGCATGGCAAACTGATGGAATGGTACATGGGCTTTGATTTGTTTCCGTGGAGACGGGAAGTTGGGGTGGGCTTGAGGATGGGGTGGGGGGGGTTAACCGGCAGGGGCGTAACTATATCCTGCGTCAAGAGTGGTGCACCGAAAGAGTTATACTATTTAAAGAAATTTTAACGTTGACTAAAATTATTAAAGGCTCGATTTCTTTCCAGACATTTCTATATTTTGTACCTACAATCAATGTTCCCTCTAAGGTTTGTTGGTTCGTGTGCTAAATCATTCAGGTGTGTGCTAAATCATTCAGGTGTGTGCTAAATCATTCAGGTGTGTGCTAAATCATTCAGGTGTGTGCTAAATCATTCAGGTGTGTGCCAAATCATTCAGTTGTGTGCCAAATCATTCAGTTGTGTGCCAAATCATTCAGGTGTGTGCCAAATCATTCAGGTGTGTGCCAAATCATTCAGTTGTGTGCCAAATCATTCAGGTGTGTGCTAAATCATTCAGTCGTGTGCTAAATCATTCAGTCGTGTGCTAAATCATTCAGTCGTGTGCTAAATCATTCAGTCGTGTGCTAAATCATTCAGTTGTGTGCTAAATCATTCAGTTGTGTGCGAAGTTTTACAGCATCATTTTTGTTTTTGTCTTCAAAATTGTACAGCCCACAAATATAAACACACACTTTCATGGAAATTAGCTGCGCGGATACTCAAAACTGCTGCGTGGTTTCTGTGAGATAGCTGCGCGGCCGCACAGCCGCGCAGCTTAAAGGGAACATTGCCAACAATCAATAGCTGGCACGATTTCTTCCCAGACATTTCTATATTCTGAACCCGGCTAGCTTTTTTTTTTTTAAGGCAATGTCTCACCCACCCTCCACACCCCAAATAATGTAGCAGTTAATTTAAGAAATTGAACCAAAAAAATCTAACTTTTTTTGTATTGAATTACAAAGAGAAGTGTCGAATTTCAAAATAAAATATCTCTTATTACAAAAATTAAAATGATAATGAAGAAGTAGCACACACTTAATTTTTTTTAAAAATCCTATCTTAAAGTCGATGGTTTTTCCAATCTCATAATTACATATTCTCGCACACCCTTACTAATATAACATATTGCACACCCTTACTGATATGTCATATTGCACAACCTTATTCATATGTCATTTTGCACAACCGTACTGATATGTGATATTGCACAACCGTACTGATATGTCATATTGCACAACCTTACTGATATGTCATATTGCACAACCGTACTGATATGTCATATTGAACAACCGTACTGATATGTCATATTGCACAACCGTACTGATATGTCATATTGCACAACCGTACTGATATGTCATATTGCACAACCGTACTGATATGTCATATTGCACAACCTTACTGATATGTCATATTGCACAACCGTACTGATATGTCATATTGCACAACCGTACTGATATGTCATATTACACAACCGTACTGATATGTCATATTGCACAACCGTACTGATATGTCATATTGCACAACCGTACTGATATGTCATATTGCACAACCGTACTGATATGTCATATCGCGCATCTTTAAATGTTACAATGCATCCAAGGATGTTATATTTTGGCTAAACTACGTTGCTAGGCACAGTGAACGATATCTCATGGCTAAACTACGGTACTAAGGACAGTGAATGTTATCTTGTGGCTAAACTACGATACTAGGGACAGTGAATGTTTTCTTATGGCTAAACTACGGCACAAGGGACAGTGAATGTTATCGTATGGCTAAACTACGGTACTGGGCACAGTGGATGCTATCTTATGGCTAGACTACGGTACTAGGGACATTGAACGTTATCTCATGGTTAACTACGGTACTAGGGACAGGGAATTTTATCTTGTGGCTAAACTACGGTACTAAGGGACCGTTGGCGAGGTGGTGAGAGAGAGACATTGTGCATTTACTGAGATATTAACTCCTGAAGGGAGAGACATTGTGTAGTACATGAGGTATTAACTCCTGAAGTGAGAGACATTGTGTAGTCCATTAGGTATTAACTCCTGAAGGGAGAGACATTGTGTAGTACATGAGGTATTAACTCCTGAAGGGAGAGACATTGTGTAGTACATGAGGTACTAACTCCTGAAGGGGGCGGGGAGACATTGTGTATTGACTGAGGTTTTAACTCCTGAAGGGAGAGACATTGTGTAGTACATGAGGCATTCACTCCTGAGGGGGGAGACTTTGTGAAGTGACAGAGGTATTAACTCCTGGGAGGGAGACATTGTGCGGCTGATGAGGTATTAACTCCTGAGGGGGGAGAAATTGTTGAGTCAACTACGTATTAACTCATATGTTACTGGGTGGACGTTAGAGTCTCAGAGACGTCTTACTGGGTGGACGTTGAAGTCTCAGAGACGTCTTACTGGGTGTGTCATGGCGTTCTCAACATCCCCGTTAAGGGCAAACATCTGCAGCCTCCAGTAGAAAAATTGTGGGCAATGACAGCTACATCTATTATATTGTATCATGTTCTAATGCTAATGGAATAGTGTAGGTGTCTGCTAGGTTTGGTGCAGGTGTCTGCTAGGTGTGGTGTGGGTGAGGGCAAGGCACGGTGTGGGTGTCGGCTATGTGTGGTGTGGGTGTCGGCTAGGTGTGGTGTGGGTGTCGGCTACGTGTGGTGTTGGTGCCGGCTATGTGTTGTGTGAGTGCCGGCTAGGTCTGGTGTGGTTGTCGGCTAGGTCTGGTTTGGGTGTCGGCTAGGTGTGGTTTGAGTGTCGGCTAGGTCTGGTGTGGGTGTCGGCTAGGTCTGGTGTGGGTACCGGCTAGGTCTGGTGTGGGGGCCGGCTAGGTCTGGTGTGGGTGTAGACTATTCACCCCTATTACATCATACTACTTACCGCAATATTTGATTCGTAGGATGTTTTCAACCAAAAAAAAAAAACACCATTAAAATTTGAATTTTAATAATTTGGCCTATTTAAATTTAAATAAAAACTAAAAATAACTTGGCTAATAAAACGCCTTGCTTGTAGAACACATGAGGCAGTGTGCCCTGTACCTAAGTTTAGCCGTAAAGAACACACGTACGCAATCCTACGCGAGTGAGCGTCACGTTTGACATAGAGACGGACCATGTTCGGTCACTCTCGGAGACGTCGCGCCCAGAGAAGGACGCCCAGGAGTGGCCTCCCCCACCGTGTGTTTGACAAAGATGGTGGCCAAGTGCCGAGGAAAACAGTCAGATGTAAACGACAAATTATGCGAGAAAACATTCAGCAAACAACTCGCTGCTTGGATAGGTAACCGAGCAGTTGATGCGCTCGGCTGAGCATCAGTAGGAGAGCGTAGAGAGCAACAGCGGTAAGGTAGCACGGATTCAGGGATGTTTGATGTGGAACGTTGAACTCGCGAGGGTCGGAAACTGTAAAGAGGGCGTCTGCTGTTTGGGGGAAGCTTGACATAAATATTGGGAGCTTCTCAAGTTGTCATCTTAGGGGGGACAAAGATTCTCGAGCTCGAAATTAAAAAGGCTCATGGCTTTCCCCATGGGATAATGACTTTGACAATAATGCACTTTTAAAAGTAAGAAACGAACCTTAAAATTAGGTTTTCTCAATTTTTGTAAAGAAATCTTTTAATTATATATACACACATAAACATATATTGTGGTAATAAGCGGGAGAGACTGCTTCTATGTCTGTTTTTTTTTCCTAACGTTTTCCAATATTTCATTTCGCTCATTTCCTTTTCGATATTTTTTCCTCGATTTTGGTCAATGTAAAACAGATAAGACCTCTTCATCCTTAGCACGCAACCAACATCAACATATAATTTTAAAATTTGGGCTAATCTGAACAAGTTATTTACGTATTAAAATACTGTCATCCTATTTAATGTTGAGCTAATTTAAGAAGAAATCTGACTTTTCAAAATCTTCACTTGGAACAGAACTGAAGATAATGTTAGATAGATAACTTTGTTGGAGGACCATAGCAAAGTAAACAATTTAAAACCTATTTAAATTCATTGGGTGGAAAGCTCTTAGTGATTAAAGTATATTATTTTTATTTTTTTTAAATATGCAAAAAATGCAGTGATCTTACCTTCTGTTTTGATACCACGTCTTGACCTGCGTGTCCGTCAAGTTGAGCTTGGACGCCAGCTCCATCCGGTCCTGGACGCTGAGGTACTTCTGGCGTTCGAACGTCTTCTCCAGGACGGACAGCTGGTGGTCAGTGAAGGCCGTGCGCGCCTTGCGTGGCTTCTTGGACTTGCCGCCCAGGGATGAACTGATGCTGGCGTCACCTCGGTGACCGGGGGAGTCGTGGTCGTAGCTCTCTGGTCAGCGATAGACAGGAAGATGATGGTCAGTCAGTGGGTGGAGGGAATGCATTCAGAGCGAATGTTCTTGATGATGAGCATGAGATGTGTTGATGTCATGAGATGGCATGAGATGTATTGATTTCATGAGATAGCATGAGATGTATTGATTTCATGAGATGGCATGTTGTCATGAGATAGCATGAGATGTATTGATTTCATGAGATAGCATGAGATGTATTGATTTCATGAGACAGCATGAGATGTATTGATTTCATGAGATGGCATGTTGTCCTGAGATAGCATGAGATGTATTGATTTCATGAGATAGCATGAGATGTATTGATTTCATGAGATAGCATGAGATGTATTGATTTCATGAGATAACATGTTGTCATGAGATGGCATGAGATGTATTGATTTCATGAGATGGCATGAGATGTATTGATTTCATGAGATAGCATGAGATGTATTGAATTCATGAGATAACATGTTGTCATGAGATGGCATGAGATGTATTGATTTCATGAGATGGCATGAGATGTATTGATTTCATGAGATGGCATGTTGTCATGAGATAGCATGAGATGTATTGATTTCATGAGATAGCATGAGATGTATTGATTTCATGAGATAACATGTTGTCATGAGATGGCACGAGATGTATTGATTTCATGAGATGGCATGAGATGTAATGATTTCATGAGATAGCATGAGATGTATTGATTTCATGAGATAACATGTTGTCATGAGATGGCATGAGATGTATTGATTTCATGAGATGGCATGAGATGTATTGATTTCATGAGATAACATGTTGTCATGAGATGGCATGAGATGTATTGATTTCATGAGATGGCATGAGATGTATTGATTTCATGAGATAGCATGAGATGTATTGATTTCATGAGATAACATGTTGTCATGAGATAGCATGAGATGTATTGATTTCATGAGATGACATGTTGTCATGAGATAGCATTGAATGTATTGATTTCATGAGATGTCTTGATGGCATGAGATGGCATGAGATGTATGGATGTCATGAGATGGCATGAGATGTATGGATGTCATGAGATGGATTGATGTCATGAGACGTATTGATTTCATGAGATGTGTCGATGTCATGAGATGTATTGATGTCATGAGATGTATTGATGTCATTAGATGTGTTGATTTCATGAGAAGGCATGAGATGTATTGATGTCATGAGATGACATGATGTCATGAGATAGCATGAGATGTATTGATTTCATGAGATGACATGATGTCATGAGATGTATTGATGTCATGATATGTATTGCTGACGCATGATGTATTGATGCTAATAACTCTATGAGGTAGTATGTCCAACCTCACACGAAGTAGTAACCTAAATTATATATATATAGCGCACTATACTATATAGTAAAACAAAATAATGCGTTCAAAAAGAAATTAGACACACAATTTGACCGTGTGAACTGAACAAAAAAATTCGACCAAACTTCCGTCGATCAATTTTTTCATCGACGAAATTTCTTTCAAAAAAATTTCCGGGTATGACGTAGAAATCGTTATCTTCATAAAGCAAAGAACATTATATTTCAAAGAACATTATTAACTTGTAAAGAAGATTATATTTCAAAGAACATTATTAACTTGCAAAGAAGATTATATTTCAAAGAACATTATTAACTTGCAAAGAAGATTATAATTCAAAGAAGATTATATTTCAAAGAACATTATAATTTCAAAGAACATTAAATTTCAAAGATTTTAACTTTCTTGCTATACATTAAGCCTCATGTTTACTTTCATATATGTTATTTTAGAAACTGTGATCTGTCGTGCCAATCAGGCATGAATCAAACATGAGCCTTCTGATCACATGACAAACATGTCCTATGACCTCAAGCCCTAGAAAAGGGTCTGAGGGCGTTAACCACTGACAACCCTTGTGAGGACAAGGGTGCTTATGTCGGGTTGTCAAACACAAACATGCTTATGTCTGGTTGTCAAACACAAACCTGCTTATGTTTGGTTGTCAAACACAAACATGCTTATTATTTAATATTTTCTACAATTTCATTATTTCATATACATATTATGTAATTATCTCATATTCATATTATGTCATACTTCATATACATAATATGTCACAATTTCATATACATAATATGTCACAATTTCATATACATATTATGTCATTACTTCATATAACAATGTCATAAATTCATATGTTCTAGTTGTTATTATTTCATATTACGTCATATGTGTGCTTAGGGTGTAAGAAACACCTAAGTAAACATGGAAGACACAGAGTTCTACTGTGAGTGTTCTGATGTCATCTTGTCAGTCTCTTATCCTGTAGACAGTCCCCTGTGAGAGTACTGATGTGGTCAGTCTCTTAACCTGTGGACAGCTCCCTGTGAGTGTTCTGATGTCATATTGTCAGTCTCTTAGCCTGTGGACACCTCCCTGTGAGAGTACTGATGTCAACTTGTCAGTCTCTTATCCTGTGGACAGCTCCCTGTGAGTGTTCTGATGTCATCTTGTCAGTCTCTTATCCTGTAGACAGTTCCCTGTGAGAGTACTGATGTGGTCAGTCTCTTAACCATTGGACAGCTCCCTGTGAGTGTTCTGATGTCATCTAGTCAGTCTCTTAGCCTGTGGACAGCTCCCTGTGAGAGTACTGATGTCAACTTGTCAGTCTCTTATCCTGTGGACAGCTCCCTGTGAGTGTTCTGATGTCATCTTGTCAGTCTCTTATCCTGTAGACAGTTCCCTGTAAGAGTACTGATGTGGTCAGTCTCTTAACCTGTGAACAGCTCCCTGTGAGTGTCATGATGTCATCTAGTCAGTCTCTTAACCTGTGGACAGCTCCCTGTGAGTGTTCTGATGTCATCTAGTCAGTCTCTTAGTCTGTGGACAGCTCCCTGTGAGAGTACTGATGTGGTCAGTCTCTTAACCTGTGGACAGCTCCCTGTGAGTGTTCTGATGTCATCTAGTTAGTCTCTTATCCTGTGGACAGTTCCCTGTGAGAGTACTGATGTGGTCAGTCTCTTAGTCTGTGGACAGCTCCCTGTGAGTGTTCTGATGTCATCTTGTCAGTCTCTTATCCTGTGGACAGCTCCCTGTGAGAGTACTGATGTGGTCAGTCTCTTATCCTGTGGACAGCTCCCTGGGAGTGTTCTGATGTCATCTTGTCAGTCTCTTATCCTGTGGACAGCTCCCTGTTAGAGTACTGATGTCATCTAGTCAGTCTCTTAGCCTGTGGACAGCTCCCTGGGAGTGTTCTGATGTCATCTTGTCAGTCTCTTAGCCTGTGGATAGCTCCCTGCGAGTGTTCTGATGTCATCTTGCCAGTCTCTAAATCCTGTGTAGGGCTCGCTGTGAGTGATAGCTTTGTAGTTATCGATAAACACGCCTCTATCAATCACGCCTCTGAGCCACGCCCACCTCTTCACTCCCCCCCCTCCCCGCTGCCTTAACGTTCCGCATGTCTCAGTGTAGCTAAAGCTCCCTTCCTNCCCCCTTCCCCCCCCCCCCGGCCCCCCCCCCCCCCCGCCGCCTCGCACATGTATTTATAGCTATCCGTTTTATCGCGAGGTTTTATAGGGCCTGCGGTCGGGACCCGCCATTGAGTGCCTGGACTTCTGGCTAAGGAAGGCGCAGGAAGAAGAATTAAATGTCTCCGTGGGCAAAAACTTAACTTCGCGATATAAGAACGTCTGCCATTGTCTTAGAGAGTCCTTGGTTTCTCGGCCAGGTTTCATGGGCTTCGGGTTCTGTGGTGAGGAAACGAGGGTGGTGAGCAAAGGAGGTCTTGGTTGTTGTTTTGTTTTTTTATTTGAAATTCAAGACATGTCTGCACAAGGTACGTAAAAGTAGCAGACGGTTAAATGAGAAGATTGATTCCATTAAAGTGAAAGCCTCAGACCGGAGTTGTTGTTTTTGTCAAAAGAAAGGTGGTTTGGAAATAGAAATAAACAAACTTTGTGGTAATGGAATTTAGGTAACGAGAATTCGAATTTGGTTTGGTAATGCAATGAGATAAGAAGCTTCAAATTTGACGTGGTAATAGAATTAGATTCAGGACTTCAACTTTGGTGAGGCAATAGATACGTGTCTAATGGTCATGAGGATGTTAGCAAAAACTTTGGTGAGGCAATAGATACGTGTCTAAATGGTCATATGGAAGATTGGAACAACTTGGGTGTTGCAATAGGTAGTATCTATTGGCCATGACGAAAACAGGAAGTGAATTAATTCAGTGAAATATAAACCACTCTCAATAGTCATAAACACCTAGTTATGTTAAACATGATAAATGAAGGACTGCGTCTTGCAGTCTGTGTGAAGGAAATAGTAGCACCTGGTTATGTTAAACATGATAAACGAAGGACTGCGTCTTGCAGTCTGTGTGAAGGAAAGAGTAGCACCTCGTTATGTTAAACATGATAAATGAAGGACTGCGTATTGCAGTCTGTGTGAAGGAAATAGTAGCACCTCGTTATGTTAAACATGATAAATGAAGGACTGCGTCTTGCAGTCTGTGTGAAGGAAATAGTAGCACCTCGTTATGTTAAACATGATAAAGGAAGGACTGCGTCTTGCAGTCTGTGTGAAGGAAATAGTAGCACCTCGTTATGTTAAACATGATAAACGAAGGACTGCGTCTTGCAGTCTGTGTGAAGGAAATAGTAGCACCTCGTTATGTTAAACATGATAAATGAAGGACTGCGTCTTGCAGTCTGTGTGAAGGAAATAGTAGCACCTCGTTATGTTAAACATGATAAACGAAGGACTGCGTCTTGCAGTCTGTGTGAAGGAAATAGTAGCACCTCGTTTTGTTAAACATGATAAATGAAGGACTGCGTCTTGCAGTCTGTGTGAAGGAAATAGTAGCACCTAGTTATGTTAAACATGATAAATGAAGGACTGCGTCTTGCAGTCTGTGTGAAGGAAATAGTAGCACCTAGTTATGTTAAACATGATAAATGAAGGACTGCGTCTTGCAGTCTGTGTGAAGGAAATAGTAGCACCTCGTTTTGTTAAACATGATAAATGAAGGACTGCGTCTTGCAGTCTGTGTGAAGGAAATAGTAGCACCTAGTAATGTTAAACATGATAAATGAAGGACTGCGTCTTGCAGTCTGTGTGAAGGAAATAGTAGAGCAGGGTGTTTGGCTGCTTGAAACAGAAAGACAGGACATAAAAAGAAGAAAGTTTCGCCCAACAGGCTTCCTCGGCAAACAAGACACACGAAGAAACAATAAAAGTTCAAAGACCTCATGAAACATCTTTTAGAAGTGATATATTATCTGCGTCACAAGTTAGAGAAGTAATTGCATTTAGTGTGTCACAAGTTAGAGAAGTAATTGCATTTAGTGTGTCACAAGTTAGAGAAGTAATTGCATTTAGTGTGTCACAAGTTAGAGAAGTAATTGCATTTAGTGTGTCACAAGTTAGAGAAGTAATTGCATTTAGTGTGTCACAAGTTAGAGAAGTAATTGCATTTAGTGTGTCACAAGTTAGAGAAGTAATTGCATTTAGTGTGTCACAAGTTAGAGAAGTAATTGCATTTAGTGTGTCACAAGTTAGAGAAGTAATTGCATTTAGTGTGTCACAAGTTAGAGAAGTAATTGCATTTAGTGTGTCACAAGTTAGAGAAGTAATTGCATTTAGTGTCACAAATTAGAGAAATGATACAATTACTGCGTCATATTAATCTAAAATATTTCTTTATTTTTGTTTAAACTGAGTTCTTCTGACAACAACTTTCCTGACAACTCGCCAAGATTGTGGATACAAAGTTAAACAACTTATCATAGTTGGAAAAGCACAAAAGTAGATTTATTGTAAATTATCAACATCAACATCAACTAGTTTTACACAGATTGTTCAGTCTTAAACATTAGTAGGCCCGCTTCTATAGATTTTAGATAGGTTGGTCAGTCTCATGTAAATATTAATAGGGCCACTACTATAGTTTTTAGATAGACTGGTCAGTCTTAGGTAAACATTAATGGGGCCGTCTCAGGTAAACTTTAATTGGGCCACTTTTATGGTTTTTAGATAGACTGGTCAGTCTTAGGTAAACATAAGGGGTAATAAGGGGAGAGACTGCAATCAGGTTAGTACAAAATAAAATGAGTAAAACAGAGTATGGTTAAACCTGAAAAATTAAACGTAACAAAACAGCGAACGTGTCGGCAGAAAGCCTTCGTCAGCGAACAAAACAACAGAAAAAACGTTATAAAAATAAGAAATAGCACTTAGCTGGTAAGTAGTATCCTTAATGAATAAGGAATGTTCTCAAAGTTGACATTAAAATAATTTACACAATAAAACCAAGTAAATTTCCTTAATAAATTCATACCAGTTTTTTGAGGGCCCACAACAATGAAATGGGGTAATCGGTCACAAGTTTTATTATCTGGCCATATGCTAAGATGCCTATTATAGTCACAAGGGTTCTGGAAATGAAAAAAAAAAAACATGAAAAGCTACCACATATTTTGTGGACTGTATGCTCAGTTAAAAAATTTGTTAAATATATTTTTGTCAATTAAAAATAGTAATAGATAATAATGGAAAATAGAAAAGTTACAAACCGTCCATATTGGATCCTTGTCTATTGGGTACATTTCAAAGTACTTAAGACCCAATTCAACTGGAGGTACTGAAATAAGCTTCATATTAGTCCAACACTTCACAAACTTGACCAGACTTTCGAGCATGTATAACGCCAAGCGGTCATTGCCATAGTTTGATAAATGAGTCATAAAAATATTTATCTGAAACAAATAATAAATCCAGGATCATCCTTTACTCTTAATTATTTTGAGCTGTAAAATGATTTTGTTAATCACTGTTAATATTTTGTTCTTCAACTAACCACTGAATATACAAAACATCAAAATAGTAGCATTTAACCTCATATGCTTTTCTTAACACCTTTTTAATTTTCTAAGTTTTAAATAGTTTACTGCTGATTCTTACTGGTGTTGTAAGCACTGTTTGAAAAATTTCACCCCCCTGAATACTTGCATCAAGACCTTCAAGCCCCCCTCTGAAGTCAGAGCTAAATACTGTTGTGGTGAATAGCCCACAAGTTTGCCTTGGGAGAACCTGAAATTTAAGAAAGTTTAAAAAAATTCATTTGAATATTTCATTAGATTGTATAACAAAAGTTATAGAAAAATAAGATTAATCATTGTTAAATTTATTGAAATCTCTGTCTTTAAAAGAACTTTAAAAAAAATATTTTTTTGGAAGGAGCTTATCCCAAACATGCTAAACAATGATTCCATTTAAGCATTTGCTTCACTGTCTTTATATACAATTAAAAAGGAAAATTAATATCTGAGACATTAAAAAAGCTATATTATTTGTTACGATTAAATAATGTCTAAAGTGCAGGGTATTATGTTTAAAAAAAAAAAAAGATTGCATTATTGCTGCAATAATTTGTTAACATTTTAGAAACAGCACACAGAAGTTTGGGAAACAGCTTCAGTCCAGTGAAAATATTATTTTATAAATAAAAATTAGCCAAGAACATTTTTTAACATGGGCTGCAGTAATTTTTGTTATTTTAGAGCCTTCAGAGCTATATGCCAGCTACCGGATATGGCTAATAAAAGATGATGGCTTCTCACCATTATTCCTTTGTGTATAAAACCTCGGCGCTTCCAAGATGGCAACAGTTTTGGGTACTCCTCAGTGCTGGTTGTTTTAACACCCCAAACCTCTCTCCATGAAGAATACAGTGGCTCATAAACTGGGTACACACCAGAATGGTGGGGTGCTACTGCATACTGTCCATACACTTTTATATCATTTTCCTTTCATAAAGTAATTTTAAAATGTTACTGTTTGCCATTATCTATAAAAGATTAATTTACAGTCTTTAAAAAACCAGATTTATTCAAACAGTGAAGAAGTACATTTCAACATTATTTAATTTATAACAGTCTGCATGCTTAATTATGCACTACCAAAAGGTATTAATTTATTGCCTTTCCAGAGCTATTTAGGGCGTACAGAAAATGTGTGTGTGTGAACAATTTGGACAAAGTGAGTCAGCATTTGAAAGCTTAAGTTTAAGAGTGGTCTAGTACAAGTAAAGAAAAGTGATTTTTTTACTTAGCTTACAGTCGAAAGTTAAATTTTCCTGTCTCTGGCATGCTATAGGTCAAAAGACTAATCGTTCAATGATTTTATATTTTATATATTTTTTTAAATATGTCTGCCAAAGGGCACATTGATGGTTGATGATTGCTGTGTCACTAGGACACACCTGACTGGCAAGCTGTAGAGTTGTAAATGTACTGAACATTTTGATTAAGCTGCTGCCAATCGTCAACTATATAAGTAATAGGAATGTAGTTTGTATATTGGTAACAAAGAAGGCTTCAAAAGCACACACATATTCTCATATTTGTAAACAGAATTATATTTCTAATTAATTTGTGATTAATGGAAATAATTTAAAATGACCCAAAATTAATGAATATGATGATATGCCATAATCTGCTAGGCACATTTTAAATATATTTTGTTATATTCTAAAGTACCCTATAACTTAATGCATGCAAAAAATGTGAAAACCAACAAGAATTAGTAGGGGATCCCATGGTAATAAACATATAGTATGACATTAAAAGGGAAAAACAAAAACATCAAAATAAGACCAATTTGATTCCAACTTCCATCATAGCAGATTTTTTAAGCAAAGCACTATTATTTCATTAGAGAATTCCTTCCTTAGTCACTTCAGTCTTCTTTTTTTTTTAAAATTGAAGTATGAAGGGCAATAGAACAACTATGAAGCTGTCATATCAGGTTTACCTAAAACTAACAGTTCTACAGATGGGTCAACAAACATCTTGGACCTCTAAAATATTTATTTACGGATAAATGCTTTTTTTCCCCTTATTTAAAGTAACATTGTCATTTTAATTTTTGCTTTCAACCTTTTGATGTAAGTTAATAATCAAGTGAATTAAATATTGGTTTCCATTTTATTTATTGTAAATTAAAGTTTAAATTTATAGCAAGGAAGGAAAGCTATGCATACATTTATTTGTATGCATCCATCTATTTGTATTACAATGTAATGTTTCAGGACAAACATCTCAGAAAATGGTAATAAAGGATGTTTTCAAATATACATACAGCAAGACAAATCCCACATATACTTTACATATATTTAAGCAAACGTTCATAACTCTGAATACTTATTCAAAGTGAACTTCCATAGTTTACTTAAAAAACTTCATCAGAATGACTCCAAGTCCATTGATAGCCATGGAAGGCCTCTTTCTAAATATAATTCCCACCAGTACTTACCATAATATACAGTTAAAGTAAGTAACTCTGTTATAATAATAAAGCTGTGATTAGAACTGCAGTTTTTTTAATTTTGTTCAAAGAAATACTAATTGAAATATAGCTAAATAATCAATGAGAAATAGTTGCAACTTTATTGGTTTTCTCATGAAATTTGAGTTTTTATTCAAACATTCACAAACAGACTTCTTCTCTAATGGAAGAATTAAATAGTATTGGTTGTAAGTTTGCATATATTTAGATAAAGTAATCTAACTGTTACATAGAAAACAGTTATCTCAATGGGTAGAGATCAAAATAAATCTTCAACCCACTCTACTTTGCCCTTTGTTACACAGTAGTAAATAAGTTCTGGTCACTAGACTTAGTATAGGCATAGTGTTCTGAGGTCACTTGATTGAGCACATTGTTATAGAGAGCTTGTTTACACAATATTTCTCGTACGTGCCCTCTGATTGACCCCGCATGAGACGCTGTGTTCACAAAGGGGTGTGGCTTAGGTCTTTGATGTATTTCTTGTTGACGCCGCCAACGAATGAAAATAATTAATCTGTTCCAAATAGTATTTTGTAGAATGATTTTGATTTTTCTAGAAGCTTATCGAAGGCAGGGCTTAGGCGTCGGTAGACCCACCTATTTAAAGGATTGACAGGCACGGACGAGGAGGGACGGACGGAGATTTTCTTATAGATTCTCTTAACATTACGAGGCGTGTTTTATTCCTTGTGTAGTTGTGTGCTCCTACTTATATGTGTTTATTTCGTATTATTTATTGGCATCATTCTTTCTAATTGTATTAACTGTGTACCGGTACGACATCTGCCATACTGTAAGTTGAAGATTGTAATTTTATTTTATTTTATTTTGTAATTATCTTAAGAGATAATAAATCTTTATTAATTGTGACTAGAAACTGTTTTGGGTCGTATCTTTAATATTGTTGATTATATGGTATCGTCCTTTGTTAGGCACTGTTTACAACGAGCCAATTAAAATTAAAATAGGAGATTAATTTCTCCCAATACAAGTCAGTGCTGTTTTGGGTCGTATCTTTAATATTGTTGATTATATGGTATCGTCCTTTGTTAGGCACTGTTTACAACGAGCCAATTAAAATTAAAATAGGAGATTAATTTCTCCCAATACAAGTCAGTGCGTAACAACATAAAGTAAGTCATGAAGGTTTATCAAATCAATATTATAAAACAGACAGAATCACATACCTCTGCAAACTGCTTGTTAAGCCTCATTGCCTTTTCTACATAATCTTTAGGAAACTTATGAGGCTGTTCATGTCTAAACATGTGACTGAACCACCGGAATCTGTGTCTGTACTCTGCATATTAAAAGAATTCGAAATCATGCTTTGAACCCTTATGTTATTATTATTATTAATATTATTAAGGTGGCTTTACATAGCACAGTACCACAGCATAAGGCTAGGGTAACTGTGTAATTAGCAATTATAGAAAATTATACATTTAAAAACAACAATTGGTGAAAAGCTTGACCTCACCCACCCAAGTACTATCTACCCCTGTTTAGCCATGGACAGCACCCAGCAGCATCGAGTGTTGTTTATCAGTTACAGGGGGGTGAGAATGATTTGGTATAGTACAGTTTGAAGAGATGGGTCTTGAGGGCAGTTTTGAAGGCTGGGATAGTCGTTATATTGCAGATGTGTAATGGGAGAGAATTCCATTGTTTTGGGGCACAGACAAATAATATATGGTGTTAAAGAAAGTTTGTGTTATGCAAAAGCACTAACTGTTATTGATGGATGGATCTCATGTAAAAATTTTAAAAAACATTTTATTGTTCATTACAACATTTAAGTCCTACATTTTTTAAAATCTTCATTATTTAACAAATGTTCAAATGGAATGACAACAAACCAATCAACTTTCTGTCCCCATCATCCTCCTCCTCAGTACCAAACAGGAAAAATCCACCAGAAAACCCAAGGTTAAATTGGAACCCATCTATTTCCTTCTGAAGACGGTCTTGTGCTGCCACCAAAGCCTAATGATAAATAAGAATCAGATAGTGATGATTTTTTTTTAATAACATGCTGCTAAAAAAGAAATTTAAATTTAAAATGTCAAAAAGTTTTCTTTGAAATGTAATTTGAAAACTATCATCTAAACCTTTTTTTAAAGAATAAATTTTGGGATGAAATATAAGATAAACAATGGAACAATATCAAACAATCATAAAAAATTTTGACATTATATACCTCAACATCTGGAACTTTCATACGTATTCCTTCTTTTCCCACAAATATATCATCCACATCAATCTGAATGTATCGCTCCTGTTTTTGTTCCAGCCTTCCAAATGACAAATAGGATAGAGCATCCATCATAATAACATTATGTAGCCAGAAGTTTAAATCACTTCCAAATAATACTTTTGGGATTCCATCTATTTCCCCGGTATCGAGAACTGATGTAATATATCTGAATTTCTCAAAGTCTTTTGAATCTTCAACCTCAGCTTCTGAGAAATGTGATGACAACTTAGAAAAAGCTAATAGTTCATAAGTAGAATGGTTGCTATGAAATACTGTCCAAGTATCTGGCAAAGTGCCTCTCCATACCTCCCCGGGTCTTACAACTCGCCAAAGACTGGAGTCTGTGTTTAATTTATAGTCTTCTAATTCTAAATTGTATTGAAATGAAATATGATAGTTCTCAACATATGTAGATCCTCCTTCTGTACCCTCCAAAGGCTTTACAAATCCAATAATACCTACATGGTAGTCATGGCAATATTTATCAATAAGTTGTCTGTTCCAACTATCCAACTCAAGGTATGAGTTATAATTTTCAAAAATAATCACAGCAAATCGACCAGACTTCTTATTTGTCAAAGTTGGTATGGGCTTTGATTTGGATTCAAATTTCACTTCAATGCGTAAGGAATTGAGGAAATATCTAATTTTTTGGCCATTTTTTGAATTTGGCACCTCAGTAATCAAAAGGGCTCTATGTGCAAGTCGTAAACGATCATCTGTTTTATGATGCCTAGGACTTTGCATTTCATGATCTGCATTAGATGGTCGCACATGACATATGATATGAGGCACTGGTGGATTGGGTCGTGGTGAGTGTATACTCGAGTCCATCAAGCGATAAAAGAAAAATAGGCTAGAGACAATGCTGAGTAAAAAGATGAGGATTAACGACCTGAGTAAAGAGAGTCGTTTGAAGTAGAAAAGTCTAGAAGCACAGTTATAGAATCTGAATATTTCTCTCCTTAACAACATATTCAAAGACACTTGTTTCCCCTGGTCGTGAATGAGGAGACAACAGTTTTGAAAAAGCTCATAAGCATTTTTTATAATTAGTTGAATAATTACATACATAAACTTCCCAAGAACAGTTAATCGCATTCATGAAGTGAGCATATGACCACTAGCACATCAAATGTTTTTTTTTAAGTTCCATCCAAATATGATGAGGATTTACATCTCATGAAATCCATACTCAAGTTCCACAGAGTATTTAACATTTGTAATGTTTACTAAAACATCTTCAATGCTAAGGATTTTCCAAGTTCAGAACACTGCACTTTCACTATTTTTAAGAGAGCAGCAAATCTGTGAAAATAAAATATTATTATTTTGGTATCAGTAATCAAGGAAATTGAAAATTAATTATTTAACATTATTTCACAGCTTTACCATCAAAAAATTATCTTTTTAAACAAATGCAAAACAATTACTTGCTATCTGTCACCCTGAATGTTGATGATTTTTTAAAGTAGAAAAGCTTAAACTTAAAGATAAATTAAATCTCTGTGTAAACAACAAATGTGGCAGTTAATTATAGAAGAAGGCTGGTACTTAATTTTTTTTCAAAATCTACTTTATATTACTGCAAATAATGCGAGAAATTAAGGGTGAAAATGCTCCTGATTTTGCATTATAAATTATAGACATGAGAAATTTTTCATTCCCATTAAATGGTCTATACTAATAACCATGCAAGCAAATCTTGGCCCACTCATATTTGGTGACTGAGCATGCAAAACACTATTAATGTACCTAGTGCCCCTTTGATGGTATATTAGCATTATTGTATCAAAATGACCAGAGTTCAATTTATTAAACATTATAATAAATTAAGGGATATGGACATTTTATTTTGTTTAAATATTTATTTCATCAATTCTTATTGTATTATTATCACACAAGATTAACAGATCTCATTACATCGAGACATGTAATTTTAGGTAATTTTTTTACAAAAAGTTAGAGGTTTGCATTATATGTGGACATATTATAAGTAGTGTTATACGGGAGTAGGCTAGTTAGTAATATTAGTAGGCCTGCAATTTAATTGTTATATTTTTTGTACAGAAATACAGTACTTTTAAAAATGCCTAGTCTAAAAAGCAGGCTTATAAATTAATAGGTTATATTTAGTTATATTTAATAAAATTAAGTTGATTCCTAATAAAAAGAAAATCACAATTAAAATAAAAAGTAAATTAAATTCAATTACGCTGACTCTTTTTATTACAAATTATTTACTTTTATTTTATTAACTTATTTACCACATAAATGTCACCATAAATGTAATATATTAATAAGATTTAAACTTTTTTAAAAAAGGGTTAGCCCACAATATTCATTTACTCAAGACAGAATAAGAGAAGTTTGAGTCTTTATATTTCGAGCTCTACTGACAACTGACCTTACTCATAACTCAGTTATTCTGTTTGAGTGTTAACAGTGTTAAAAGTTAAATTATTAAACTGCTAATGTTATAAATAAGCATACACGCGTCTGTGTTATCCATAGTAAATCTAACTTAACTTACTAGTACTCAAGTAGGCCTAAAGAAAGTCCTTATTACTATTAATGACCAGGTCTTTTTTGTAGAACACACTGAAACGGCTAATGGTACCTTTTTTTGGTGAATTTTTCAAGTAACTTTAGACAATTTTATGTTTGGTCCACGTGCACTTGACTCGCCCTGTCCAGCTTAGAAGGTTGGGGTAGCAAAATCATTAAAACGATGCATGCAGAATACTTAGTGGAAGAAGGATGGCAAGAGGCTTGGCTCGCCATGGGTGGCATTAGCCTTAGCTAGGCTAGTGCATGAAAACGGTAAATAATTTCTTTATTATTAAAAAAATTCCCAGGTAAAAAAATTTTTAATTTACAAATTACTTCTCAACCACGTTTCTGGTATTATACAAAGGCCAGAATATTAATAGGCACAATGACAGAACACATGAAAATAGCAACGCCTGATGCTAATTCTGAATCTGATCTTGAGATGCAAAGCCAAACTACAAATATTAAAGACCTATCATCAAATATATATTTGTACACATTTTTTTAAATTAAAGGGCTAACCATAAACGATGACATGCTATTTTTGCCGATTTTTGGATCCTCCTCTTTTATTTTCACATAATCAAAGACACCCTCACAATATTTTATTATAAAATCATGACCTCCGGCGCATGACGTCTTAATTGATGACTGTCACAAATGACCAGGAATCTATAGTCCTAGGTACTGGACAAAGGTACTTTTGGCAAGGGTGGAGTCGACATTGAAGTTTAATGATGATTTATGTTAAATCTGGAAGACATAGCCTAGGATACCATGTGGTGGTGTTTGGGAAAGGGTATCAAGAATGGGTTATAGTAATGAGATTTATAGTTTGCAGTTTAATGTGGAATGTCCATGCAGACACTAGGTAGTTACTTTAATTAAGGATCATCATCATCATCAATGGCACTACAGCCCATGTTGGGCCCTGGCCTGCTCCACCACATCCTTCCATTCGGAGCGATCCATGGCTTTCCGTCTCCATGCTCGAACCCCCAACTGGTGTAAATCTGTCTCCACATCATCAATCCACCTCATCCTTGGGCGACCGATGAGTCGTCTGCCCCTAGGCTTCTGCCTGTATATAATTTTGGCTGCTCTGCATTCCGGCATCCTTTCAACATGACCTGCCCAGCGTATTCTGCATTTTTTATCATTGTGACTATAGGTGGTTCTTTGTACAAATAGTAAAGTTCTTGGTTTGTACGTATTCTCCAGATATCATTTTCTATCACTGGTCCGTATATTTTGCAAAGGATTTTCCTCTCCCAAGTGTTGAGCAGGTTCTCTGCTTTTCTGGTGAGGGTCCAGGTCTCACTAGCGTACGTTACTACAGATGGTGGTGTATATTGTCTTCTTTGTTCCCCTTGATAAGTTTTTGTTTCCCAGTAGCTTTTGTAGACTGAAATAGGAACGTTTGCCTGCTGTTATCCTTTCTTTCACCTCTGACATTATCTTATTGATATTTGAATGTGTCCACTCTCTCAAATTTGTGGTTGTTTATATTGATGTTATCAGCATGGGAGTTTCTTGACATTATCATATATTTTGTCTTCGGTTCATTTATATCAAGGCCAGCTTTGAATGAGGCATTTTCAAGTTCCCTGAATGCTTTAATTATGTCATTACAGTTTCTACCCAGTAGTGCTACATCATCTGCATATGCTAGGTACTGCAATGGTTGGCTATATAAGGTTCCTGATGGTCGTTGCTCTGTAGTATCTCTCTGGAAATAGTTTGTTATGGTTCCACTGGTGCTAATGTGAATGCTTCTAATAACTTTTTCTAGCGTGATGTTAAACAGGATACATGATAGTGAGTCTCCTTGTCTGAGGCCCCGATTAACTATGAACTCCCTAGAATATTCTCCCTGAACCTTGATTCTGCTTTTGGAGTTGGCCATTGTCATGTGTATGAGCCGAGTAAGCTTGTTAGGGACTCCAAGTTCTTGTAAAGCATTGTATAAGTAATTCCTGTTTACGCTATCGTCGGCTGTTTTGTAATCCACATATAGTTGGTGTATGTCGATGTTATATTCGTAACATTTCTCCAGGAGACATCTTATAGTAAAAATATGATCTATTCTGTCGGAATCCACATTGATAGTCCCCTAGGATCTGTTCACTATACTTTTCCAATTTTCTCGCTATAAGTTTTGTGAGGATTTTGTACATTACATTAAGAAGGGAGATACCTCTATAGTTTGAGCATATCAACTTAGATCCCTTTTTGTGGATTGGGATTATGAGTGCCGTGTCCCATTCAGTTGGCATTTCTTCCTCCTGCCAGATTCTGGTTATAAGTTCGTGTATTTGCCTATGCAGTTCGCTACCACCTAGCTTTATGAGTTCTGCAGGGATAAGGTCTATTCCTGGGGCTTTGTTATTTTTCATGGTGGAGATTACATCTTTTATTTCATTTAAAGTTGGTTGGTTGACCAGTGGGTCCGGTCCTCCTTGTGGCGGGGCGTAATCCTCATTGGTTCCTCCACCTGAGCCATTCAGTAAGCCTTCAAAGTGTTGTGCCCATCTCTCTAGTACTCTACTGCTCTCTGTGATCAATTCTCCATCCGTGCTTTCACACATGTGTGATCTTGCTTGAAAGCCATTCTTTTCCTGCTTTATCTTCAGGTACATTCCCCTCACATCTCTTTCTTTTGCCAACTCTTCTATCTCTACTATTTTTTATTTTTCCCAAACACGTTTTTTCTTTCTGCAAATTTTGCTGGCCACCCTTCTTGCTTCATTATATAATTGTCGTGTTCTTCTTGTTTCCCTTTGCAGCATCATTAGCCGAGCTTTGTTTCTTTGTTCTATAAGTTCTTTGCATTCTGCGTCATACCATCCTGTTCTTTTCACTGCTGGTTTAAATCCAATCGTTTCCTCTGTTACACTTGTGACTATTTGCTTCATCTTTTCCCATTGCTGGTTTATATCAACGTTGCTGGCTGATTCTCTTTTGGATAATTCTAGTAGAGTTTCAATCTTCTGTTGATATTCCTCAGTAATTTTTGGGTCCCTACTCAGTTTCTGACTATTGTACTGTTTTTCTCTTTTATTTTGTTTATTGTGGATGTTACAAATTCTTTGCTTATATTTGATTCTAACAAGCATGTGGTCTGAGTCTATGTCCGCCCCTCTACAACTTTTCACATCTGATATGTCCGAGCCATGCCTCCGGTCGATGAGTACGTGGTCTATTTGATTACGGGTAAATCCATCTGGAGATATCCATGTCGCTTTATGTATTTGTTTATGTTGGAATACTGTGCTACTGATTATCATTCCTTTTCCAGAGGCGAAGTCTATAAGACGTGTTCCGTTGTCATTGCTCTCATCATGGATACTTTCCTTTCCAGTTGTTGGTCTGTAGACTAGTTCTTTCCCAATTTTCGCATTGAAATCGCCAAGGACTATTTTGATATCATGGCGTGGTGCCTCATCAAATACACTTTCCAGTGTTTCGTAGAA